CGACTACTACTACGGCTACTACTACGACTACTACTATTACTACTACTACTACTGCTACTACTACTACTACTTCTACTACTATCACTACTGCTACTACTACTACTACTACCACTACTACTACTACTACTACTACTACTACCACTACTACTACTACTACTACTGCTGCGACTACCACTTTTACGACCACTACAATCTATAATTCTACTCTACCACTCCTACTAATTCTTCTACTACTACTCACTACTTACTACTACGACTACTACTACTACTACTGCTACTACTACTACTACTACTACTACTACTACTACGATGATCACAACTACTACTACTACTACTACTACTACTACTACTACTACTACTACTACTACTACGACAACTACAACTACTAATTCTTCTACTGTGTTTTCAACACTTACTTGTTGCACCCAATTACTACTAACTGTCCGGTGCCGCCGCGCGCCCGTGGTCGCGCCGCGCGCGCCCGGCCTATCAGACGCGACAAAGTGTCGCCAGCCCTGCATCCAGAGCACCCTGCCATGCATGCACCTCCACCGCGCCCCAGTGCAGAGCTGCCTCCGCGCTGCTCCAGCGCTTGTCCAGCCACCGAGCGAACCATGTGCGGCGGCGCGGCCGCCCGATCCATGCGACGGCAGCGTCGTCGAAATACTTCTTGAACGGTCGCATCAGCGTTGCGTCTAGCCTCTTCAGCATGGCCACCAGCAGCCTGGCCGTCTCCTCCTCCTCCAGCATGTGGCACATGCCGCGCGGCATCTCCTGCGCGCTATGGCAGAACAGCAGCGTCTCCCGCTCCGTCAAGCCCAGCTCGCGCGCCAACGTGCCCAGGCCAACCGACCGCAGCGAGTGGACCCTCAGCTCGCGCATCCATGTCTCCAGCTCGGACACGTGGGGCTGCAAGCCATGGTCGCCTCCTCGCGCCACGCATTGCCTGGCCTGGTACCTCATGGTCTCGTAGTACCCCGCGAAGCCCAGCGGTGGCGCGCACACTGCGCGCGTGTAGTTCAGCGCTGCGTTCGCAGATCCCGCGACTGCCACGGCCGCCCCACCCTGAATCAGCTCTGTCAGCAGTATGTTGTGGCTCTTGGCTGACGCGTAGTCGGCCTCCACAACCCCGCGAATGCTGTTCGGGTCGGGCGCCAGTTTCCTCGGGCAGGTCAACGCGGCGAACTGGCCCTCCTACACGAACGCCGACACCACCATCATGTCGTCTGGGATCTCGTCGACGCCCTTGAACCGCGCCACCCGCATGATGCGGCCCGGCGCCTGCACGTGTAGTGCCACGTCGGCCACGCGCCCGCGAGTCGGCATGACTCTGTCTCCATCCAGCGCTCGCCCCATGCCGTTAGGCCCAGCGCTGCTCTTGCCGCAGTTCTCGGGCAGCACCGCGACCGTGCGGGGCTGGTCCTCGTCCACCCAGCGGCCCCGCAGGCACGCGCGCCGCACGTCTCCCACCCGCGGCAGCTCGCACTTCTTGACCGCATCCATGAACTGCACGCTGCGCAGCTCCTCTTGCTGCATCTCCTCCAGCACGGCGCGCCTGCACCCGATAATTGCCAAGTTCACCGCATGGGCGATCGCCGGCCCCAACTTGTCGCGCTCCTCCGCCGACAGGTTGCGCGCCGTGGCCACGTTCTCCGCGGCGTACGCCTTGGCGCGCACGTCCGGCATCCTCTCGATGTTCTGACGGTTCGGCACCAAGTCTATGCGCGGCAGGGCTGGCCCTATCGGTCGCGCCCAAGCCCCAGCGCGCGTCGCCCAGTCGCAGCCGCCCAGCGCGGCCGGCATCTCCAGCAGCTTCCGCGGCATGACCGCCCGGCCACCTCCGGCGCGCTGACGCGTCGCCACTGCCAAGGCGGGCTCGTTGTTCGAGTGCTGCGTCGCAAGCATGATGCCGCGCTGCGCCCAGCATGCGCCGCCGCGCCGGCCGACCTTGACTGCCACCTCCATGCCCTTATGGTACACGGCATCTATGGCGTGAGTCGGGCGGCCGTTGGCGTCGCCCACGATCGCGCTGCCCAGCGCGCGCAGCGGGTAGCCGTAGACGCCGCTAGAGCAGTACAGCGCCCGCAGGAACTCCACGAACTCGTTGCTCAGGCCCTGCGCCTCCAGCTTCAGCACTTGGCCCGACCACTCCAGCGCCAACACGAGCAGCACGCAGTCCAGCGGCGCTGCCATAACGGCCCCGTCGTCGCCTGAGCACCAGTGCTGCAGCAACACTATAGCGTGCAGCA